TTTTTTTTTTTTTTAGAGACAGAGTCTCACTTTGTCGCCCTCAGTAGAGTGCTGTGGTGTCACAGCTCACAGCAACCTCCAGCTCCTGGGCTTAGGCGATTCTCTTGCCTCAGCCTCCCAGGTAGCTGAGACTACAGGCACCACCACAATGCCTGGCTGTCTTTTGTTGCAGTTTGGCTGGGGCTGGGTTCAAACCGGCCACCCTCAGTGTATAGGGCCAGCGCCCTACTCGCTGAGCCACAGGCACCACCCTGTTCAGTATATAAGTGGAACAAATGCAGTGATCCATTCATATATTTTAAGTTTCCCTATACGGAAATATGAAAGGGTCCAAGGGAGCACAGGAGAGTGGAAAGGGGAGAGCAGTCAAGGGAGATTTGGGGACTTTTTTAGTTTTCACTTTTTGTATTTTTGTGCTGTTTGAATTTTTTTCATAAGCATTTATTCCATTTTCGATTTTTCTTAAAATAGACTTTCAGGAGAAACTTAAGTAGCAGTTTTATCATAAGCTCTAAGTACAAGCAGCTCTCCACTGTGATATGTGTTTTATGTGCGGTAGTTTGAAAGGCTATTTCCTTTTAATGTTTTATTTGGAAATAATTTCAGGCTCTCAAGAAGTTGCAAAAATAGTACATGGCAATTCCCTGTAACCTTCGTATAGTTGTATCATCTTAATGGAACTGAAGTTAATCAAAACCAGGAAATGACATTGGCACAACACAGTTAACTAGACAACAGGCTAAAAGCCATATGTTTTTATTGTGATAAATTCTATATTCTGACGGAAGGTCTTCAGTACTACTTTAGTTAGTGTTCTATAATTTTTGATGTCAGTATTTTAGGAGTTCTTGATGATGTAGGGAAACATTTCAGATTCATTCCACATTATGCCAAGATAGGGTATCATCCAGGAGAAGTCAACGGCTAATAATGCACTAATATTCCCATTTTCCACATGCCTCTTTATAACAGAAAATGAAAAGTATTTTGAATTTTGGGTATTGATTCCAACTATTATAATTTATTTATTTTTTGGAGACAGAGTCTCACTTTGTTGCCCTCAGTAGAGTGCTGTGGTGTCACAGCTCACAGCAACCTCCAGCTCTTGGGCATAGGCGATTCTCTTGCCTCAGCTTCCCGAATAGCTGGGACTACAGGCTTCCGCAACAACGCCTGGCTATTTTTTTTTTTTGCAGTTTTGGCCAGGGCTGAATTTGAACCCGCCACCCTCAATATATGGGGCCCACCACCCTCAATATATGGGGCCACCCTACTCACTAAGCCACAGGCACTGCCCAATCAACTATTACAATTTATAAGGTATTTTCTTTCAAGAGAAAAAAAAATTTAATCTGTCATTACTGATTTTGGGGATACTGTGACTCAGAATCTTACTTTTTCAGGGTGCAGGGGATAGCTTATTTTTAAACTGTATAATGTTTTATATCTTGAAATAGTCCCTTGGTCCTTAAAAAATTGAACATATTTTGTGTGTTGGAAAATGATATAGATAGCAAAAATTACATTCATTATTTTTCTTTTTCTAGCCAATACTGGCCCCTCTTCGTTCTCTTTTTCTACATCCTCTCACCTATTCCATACTGCATAGCAAGAAGATTAGTGGATGATACAGATGCTATGAGTAACGCTTGTAAGGAACTTGCCATATTTCTTACAACAGGCATTGTCGTCTCAGCTTTTGGACTCCCTATTGTATTTGCCAGAGCACATCTGGTAAGTGAATATATTCTTCTATTAATTTTATATTAGACTGTGCGAAATTTTTCTTGAGGCAAGTTTTCATTAATGACATGGAAAAGAGATGAGAGACATAGGAGCCTAAGAGATAGAGATTCAAATCTTACTTTATTGTTTGTTCTTGTTAGCTAATTAAAAATGAGAGTGGAGAGCATGGCTTGGCTCTGTAGCAACTGTTGGCTCTCCAGTGCTTATCTGTAAAAGTTGGGCATGTCAGCTTCCCCAGTGCTAACTAATCATGGGCCTGCCCGCTTCAGCTTAAAACATGAAAGACCTGAAAGGCTTGTGTGTGCTCTGCAGGTAGTAATGTATTATACAAAACAGGAGCAGGGGCGGGACTGCATCTACGCACATCTTCCCAAACTCCCAGATCCAGATTCAAGCCTTCATCTCTGGGGAGATAGAGAAGGCAGTGAGAAGCCAGCTCCCCTACCCATTTAAGAAAATACAGATAAGTGTTTCTATCTCGACACTTGATAATTTAATCTGCCCTCCAGTTGACTTTTATTTTTTTTATTTTTTTAAGAGACCGAGTCTCAGTCTCTTAAAAAGCTGTGACACCATGGCACTCTACTGAGGGCAACAAAGTGAGACTCTGTCTCTAAAACATAAAAAAAAGAGAGAGAGACCCAAGTCGCCCTCAGTAGAGTGTCGTGGTATAATAGTTCACAGCAACCTCCAGCTTCTGGGCTTAGGTGATTCTCTTGCCTCAGCTCCTGAGTAGCTGGGACAACAAGGCTTCTGCCACAACACCCAGCTATTTTTTTGTTGCAGTTTGGCCAGGGCCGGGTTCGAACCCACCACCCTAGGTATATGGGGCCAGTGCCCTCTCATCTGAGTCATAGGCGCTGCCCTCCAGTTGACTTTTAGATTCCCTAAGGAAGAGTTAGCAAATTTCTTTATAAACAGAAAACTGTAGAATACTATGTTCCTTTATCATAGCCCAGAAGTCAAGCTTGTTTTTGAATAATTATCATCTGATGATTTTCTTTCTGAAGGAACCAAAGGTAAATAAAAACAGCAGTATAAAAGTTCCATTAAGTGTTCAGAACTGTGCAAGGTACTATTACAAACCACATTTGTTTTAGATCATGATTGGCACACAATTGGAACCTTGCTTTGCTTGTCATTTTCTTCTTGTTTTTCATATGTCTGTTTGTATCTTATTTCCATAGATTGAGTGGGGAGCTTGTGCGCTTGTTCTCACAGGAAACACAGTCATCTTTGCAACTATACTAGGCTTTTTCTTGGTCTTTGGAAGCAATGATGACTTCAGCTGGCAGCAGTGGTGAAAAGGAATTACTGAACTATTGTCAAATGGACTTCCTGTCATTTGTTGGCCATTCACACACACGGAAGACGGGCAGCAATGCTGGCTGGATGGTGTAGCAAGCTTCTTGGGGGTATTCTAGGTGCTCCCATCTTACCTGCATTGTAAGCATACTATTTTCACAGAGACTTGTTAAAGGATTAAAAGGATTTTCTCTTTTGGAAAAGCTTGACTGATTTCACACTTATCTATAGTATGCTTTTTGTGGTGTCCTGCTGAATTTAAATATTTATGTGTTTTTCCTGTTCAGTTTTTTTTTTATATCAATATGCCTTGTTAAACATTTTTTAAATGTAATAACTGTTTGCATTGGCTAGGAATTCAGAATTCTGCAAGCTGTATTACTGGGCTAAAGTACATCTTTTCTCTTAAAATTATTTAGCCACCATTATTACAGAAAGTTTTAAAAATAAGTTTTCAATCAGTCAGGATGACATCACTCCCAATGTTATGCAAACATGCAGACCGCTGGCGTACCTTATACTCAGTGCAGATATAGCTTGTTTATACCTCAGAGGGGCCAAGGATTAATGCTCACGCCCTCCAGAAGGGCTGATGATTTTACTAGTAGACAAGTGCTTTGTGAATTGAAAATTATTTTATGGAATTGCTACAAAGGAGTGCTTTTCTTCTTAACTGTTAGAAGAATTTATGTTCAACTTCAAGGTAAAGGTATAACAGATTTATGAGATATGGTTTTTGTTTATTATAGTTAAAAGTAGAGTGAGTTGCCATAGGGGAAGAAACAATGTGGAAATTCCATTTTTGAAACTTGTTTCTATTTATAAATGAAATTTTTGATCTTCTATCAGCCTTTCTTGTTTTACCGTGAGTAAAATGAATATACCTGGAACTACTGCTAAGGAGGGACAGTTGTATGTTTGCATCATATATACAGAAAACCTCCCTCTGCTTCCTCTGTTTAACTTATTTTGTATATTGTATATATTAAGTAACTTTTCAAATATAGTTTAAATAACAGGTTAGAAGTGTTTAACTTAACCTCGAAAATAATTGCTATGCCATACATTCAGAGTGCCCCCTCCCCTGCAAGGCCTTGACCTGATTAACAAGTGACTTGTTATCTTGCATATAATTAATGCATTAACAATTTAAGATTTAGACCACGGTAATGTTAGTTCTTATTCTCTAAGGTTATATCATATGTAATTTAAAAGTATTTAAGGCAAGTTTCCTGTATACCTCTCAGCTGTTTTGATTTTGATTCCATCATGATAGATCTATTTCCTTATAAAAAGCAACTGTGTGAATTTATGCAAAGTAGGCAAAGCCAGCTGCGTAGCAGCTTCAGCCACAAACCTGACGCCCAAATTCCCAGGAACCAGGCATGCTCAAATTACAGTGGCCATTCACATCTCACAATTATCAGGACTTTTTTTCAGGAGCTGGTTATGAAAATGTTCCAGTTGGTCAGATAGTATTTTATTAGGGAAATGTTTGTATGTTTATTCAGTATTCTTATATAAAAATTGTTTTGCCCTCCGCCATGCTGAGGAATCCTGACAGTTATCTTTTGTTGTTCTATAAGGTTTATTTCTCAAGAAAGTGGGATCAAATTTGGGGGTTGTTCAGCTTTTTACTGAAGATGCCTAAAGCCACAAGTTTTACCACCTATCCCGAACCGTTACTTTTAGCTATGAGATGAGGAGAAGCAGGATGAAATAAGGCATGTGGTGGAACCCTTCACATAGGAGGCTGAAGATGATGTCATTGTTAGGATGCACAGGTGCACATGAATTAGGAACCCGTATGTGTTAGGATGCACAGGTGCACATGAATTAGGGTCCCACATGTATTAGAATGCACAGGTGCACATGAATTGAACAGCTGGTGGCACAGCTGGGGACTCTTTGTGCTTGTAATCTATGGACATTTTTCAGGAAGTACATTTTCTGGTCCATTTTCCTTTTTCGTTCTTCCAGATGGCAGTGTACTGCTGCTGTTTTGTCCTCTTGGCCATAGACTCTTTTTCTAACAGCTACGTATTCTTTCTGTATTCTGATTGCATTGGCAGCATTGTGTCTTTGACCTTGTACACTAGCTTGACATAAGTGCTGTCTCTGATTTTTAGGCTAGTGACTTGAGGTATGAATTTTCCATAGAATATGCACTGACAACAACATTGCCATTCTTCTATGGAAAGAAAACTTTTGATGATGAAACAATAAAGATTTTAAATATCTATTTTAGTTTGTCGGTGTTTTTGAAATGAAAATAAACTGCTACTGCACACTTCAGTTTCTGAAGTGCATTAATCATTTAATAATGGGATATAAAGCAGGTGTGGCTAATGTAATATGAGACTGGCAGAGGTTTCACTTCGAAATTGAAACCAAACAACAGACACTACCAAGAAGCCCTATGATTTGAGCTCTAGTAAAAGGACTGAGAGAAGTAGCAATCTGGAGAAGTAGAATTTTTACCTAACTTTTTATGAAAAAAATTGTAGATTTTACTGATTATAAAAAGAATACTACTGGCTTGGTGCCTGTAGCTCAGTGGCAGGTTCAAACCTGGCCTGGGCCTGCTAAACAACAATGACAACTCCAATAACAAAAAAATAGCCGGGTGTTGTGGCGGACACCTGTAGTCCCAGCTCCTTGGGAGGCTGAGGCAAGAGAATCACTTAAGCCCAAGAGTTTGAGTTTGCCGTGAGCTGTTATGCCTTCGCACTCTACCAAGGGTGACATAGTGAGACTCTGTCTCAAAAAAAGTCAGTGCATTAAACTTAACAAGCAGTGATGCAACATTACTGTCAAGTGGGATATATAGTATGTTGTAGATCTCAGGACGCTTTATGATGCTTGCAAATTGGTGGGAACTTCCAATTCGTGTTTCTTCCATATGACCCTGTATTGTCCTTTCAATGAAGATGAGGAGCTCTTAGTTTATTGCAGGTCTCCCCATTTTATGGCATTTTCAAGAAGAAAACGTATTCGGTAAGAAATATTTTAGATAA